TGGGGGTGGGGGATTTGCTTTCCCACCCAACATGACATAGCAACCATGCCCCATACAGCAGAGCCACAACCATACCCTCTGTAGCTCCACCCACTGGGCAAGAGCTGATCAACAACAGCCAGCAGCCAACAACAGCCAAATCCACCCTAAACTGAGGTGTATGAATGGTGAATGAGAATGGTGTAGACACATTCATTCTTTACACCCACAGGAGACAGTTGTGAGAGCTTAAGAACAAATCAACTTAAAATCATCAATTAAATAAATACAAACACAACAACCCCACAATGCCCCAGAGACAACAGATCATTTTGGCTCACATGAAGAAACAAGAGAGAATGACTTTAGCAAATGACCAAGAGGCAGAGCCAGAAAACGTTTCTGAGGAAGAAAAGGTAATGGAACAAACTGAAAAAGAATTCAAAAGAATGATATTTAGGTCCCTTCAAAGGATTGGCAGAAAGATCGAGGAAAGCAAGGAAACATTTAGAAGAATTCAGGAAAGCACTACAAGAACAAACAGACAAAATAATGGCAAATTCTGAAATAATACAAAACCTGTAATTAGAAATCCAGAAGATTAATTCTAAGATTTCATAAATGGATGATACATTGAAAGGGCAAAGTAGATTAGAAACAGTAGAAGTCCAGACAGTGAACTTGAAGATAAATCTTTCAATACTAATAAGTTGGTGTGGCACTGTAGGATAAGCATTGGACTGCAAGATCATTTGAACTAAAAGGTCTGTGGTTCAAACTCACCAGCCACTCCTCAGAACCCTATATATGGTTGCTATGGGTTGGAAGTGACTAGACAGCACTTAACAATAACACCAACAAGCTAGAAGAAAACTCAGGAGAGAAAAAAAGAAAAAAATCTGAAGAACACCTAAGAGTTATGTGGGACACCATGAAGAGGAACACTTATAGGTGACTGGAATTACAGAATAGGAAGAGACAATAAAAAGCACAGAGAAAATTGTTGATGAGTTGTTGGAAGAAAACTTCCCTAATGTCATGAAAGATGAGAAGATAAGCATACAAGAGACTGAATGGATCCCAAACAGGATAGATTTCAAAAGAAAATCGCCAAGCCCTATCAGAATCAAACTTTCCAAAACCAAAGACAAGGAAAGAATTCTGAAAGCAGCTCAGGAAAAATGAAAAGTTAGCTACAAAGGAGAACCAGTAAGACAAAACTCTGAATTTTCAACAGAAACCATGCAGGCAAGAAAGCAGTGGGAGGACATATACCAGACTCTGAAAGAAAAAAATTGTCAACCAAGAATCATATACCCAGAAAAACTATCCCTCGAATCTTGTTGTTAAATGTGGTCGAGTATATTCCAACTCATAGCAACCCTGTACAGGATTTCTGAGAAGTGGCTGGTGGGTTTGAACCTTTGACCTTGCAGTTCACAGTCCAGTGTTGATTCTACAATGCCACCCACATTTCCTGATAAACAGAAATTAAATGAATTTATAATGGCCAGACCAACTTTACCAAATTCTAAAGGGTGTTTTTTAGACTGAGAACCAACAACAGCTGACAATAACCTAAGACTACAATACATAATAACAACACCCAGAACTCAATCCAGGTATTTGTTGAAGTTGTTGTTAAGTGCCATCGAGTCGATTCCGACCCATAGCAACCCTGAATAGGGTTTCCAAGGAGCAGCTGGTGAGCTTGAACCAACAAACTTGCAGTTCAAATGACTTTATAGTCTGACGCATAAGCCCACAGTGCCACACCAAGACTCCCAATTCAGATATAGAAATATTTAAAATTAAACTAACCTATAAGCCTAAAAACAGAGCCTCTTGGTCCAGGTACAGATTCCTTATGAGCACAACGAAGTGTTCCAGAATACTCGTACTTCGCAATGTTATCCATAGCTTGTCATGATCCACACAATTGAAAGCCTTTGCGTAGTCAATAAAGCACAGGTAAACATCTTTCTGGTATTCTCTGCTTTCAGCCAAGATCCATTGAACATCAGCAAAGATATCCCTCGTTCCACGGCCTCTTCTGAATCCATCTTGAATCTCTGGAAGCTCTCTGTCAATGTATGATATAGTCGTTTCTGTATTACCTTTAGCAAAACTTAACTCTACTGGGATATCAAGGAGATTGTCCGACATGTTACTAAGAGGGACTAGTATCTGGAGAGATATCCTGGTGTGGTGCTGTGGATTAATGAGCCAGACTGCAAAGCCGTTTGAACTGCAAGGTCGGTGATTCAAGCTCACCAGTTGCTCCTTGGAAACCCTATACAGGGTCGCTATGGGTTGGAACTGACTCAACAGCACTTAACAACAACAACAGTTTCTGGAGAAGGACATCATGTTTCATAGAAGGTTGGCAAAAGACGAAGACCCTCATTGTGCATTGACACAGTAGCAACAGTGGGCTCAAACATAGCAAAGATTGTGAGTCAGGCACAAGATCCGGCAGTGGTTCGTTCTGTTGTACATAGGGTTTCTGTGAATTTAAACTAACTTGATGACAGGCACTTAGCCAAAACTGCCTCTTCAGAAGAAAGATGTGCCACTCGGCTTCTATTAAGATGACCACCTTGGAAACACTATGGGACAGTTCTTCCCTGCTCAGTGTTTTTGTTATTAAGTGACTTGATGTTAAGTCAATTCCAACTCATAGTAAACTATATAGGGTTTCCTAGGAGCAGCTAGTAGCTTTGAACCTCTAACCCTGTGGTTAGCAGTTCAATGCTGATCCAACAGCGCCATACCGTAAATGGCTGGATGACAATGGTTTTTGGTAATCCACACAGTGCCTGACACATTGTTGGTACTCAATAAATATTTGTGGAATGAAGGAGATAGTGGTAGAGGAGGAAAAGGTATTTTGAGGGTTTATCTATGTTCAGACATCGTGTTTTCTATTGTGTCTGTGGAAAATCTACGTTAAGACAAATGCTTTTTGAATTATGTGCTTATGTTGCTAAATTTTATTTTTTTAAATCTAACTCTTTATTGAGTCTGGACCTCATGGAGCTCTGGGTATATACGCCGGTTACCATAGGGGACGCCTGGAGCATACCATGGAGGGTGGTAGAAGTATTGGTTAGGGACATCCCACTTAGTTTGGGGGGTCCAAGAAGGATGAGGCTTTCTACTCCCGTAAAGATTTACACCCTCGGAAACCCTGCACAGGGTCGCTATGGGTCGGAACCGACTCGATGGCACTTAACAACAACAACAACTAAGAATTTCTACGGAGTATTACAGGTTCAGAAGGGAGCACATTCAGTCAACAGAAGAGCTGAGGCCTTCTGGAAAAAGGAGGTGCTGCAGTGTGAGGTGCGTGGGGGCGCTACAGCTTTGAATGTCAGTCAATTGGGTCCCAGGTGTTTAGAGTTCCGGTGAGCCAGAAAATGCACAAACTAGACCACGGATTACCGTTAGAGCCAAGTCAGCATTAGGAGCTCATCGGCCGCTTGGCTTGAACCAGAGCGTCCAGCAGAGGGCGCGCGGCCGATATTGCGCTGAGACCCGCGAGCTGCCGTTCTAGGCAGAGTCTGGTCATAGAGTCGCGCGGCTTCTGGCCCAGCGACAGGGTAGAAGCCGGAAGTCCGGCGGGCTCCGGGCGTCGAGATGGAGGAGAGTGCGTATGAGTCGGTGCTCTGTGTCAAGCCGGAGGTTCATGTTTACCGCATCCCGCCGCGGGCCACCAACCGTGGCTACAGGTGACCGCCTGCCGCCGGGCCGGCCTGGCCCTGATTGATCCCTTCCTTTCCCGCCGCCTCGACACACCCATCTCGGGAACCGAGGACGGGTCCTGGTCAGTTTAAGGGAGAAGGAGAAGGGACTGCGGCAGTTTCTTTCAGGTCGAACCCAGGGCTGGGAGGGAGACCCAGATTTTCGGCCGTCTCAGTCCGTCTCACGGGCCTCCCGGCGGTGTGGGAAAACATTCAAGTTGTGTCTTGGGAACTGCGGTGGGCTGCCGGATTCCCTTAACTGGGCTGGGGGTGGTGTCCCAGGCGGTTGTTTTTCCGCTGAGCGTTGGCCTTGAAGGAATCCTTGAAAAAGCTTTAAAAAGGGAAGGGATTCTGTCACAACCGGAAATCCCCGAGGGGAAGGGAGGGAGCCCAGAACCAGCCAGAATGTCCAGTCCGGGGAGCTTTAAGCTGATGGCCGAGCCCCAAGGACCCCCGAGCCCCAAGTTCCTTCCGCACGATTGTCATCCCGTAGGAGGTGGAGAGAAGTCCAACTGCACTTCTCTGGTGCAACGTTCATTTGAGACGAGTGAGAAAACAGCGTAGAGGATCGCTAGGAGGGAACTCCGGAAACTTCTGGCGGGGAGAGGGAAGGGATGGAGAAGCGGGGTCCAAGGAGACGACGCCCATTGATTCTGTACCTTTTTGTCCTACTGGCATTTTATTCCCATGTGTATGCATTGCCTATCCACAAAGAAAATGGAAGATACTAATACAGCGAATACAGACATCCTGGCCTTTTGTCATTGTGTGGGGGATGCTGATAATTTTGTGGGTGGACAACCTTGATGACAGTGTTTGTCCAAATTATTTAGAAATACAAAATTGGCCAGCACCACAGAACAACGGAGTAGCGCTATTTCTGACTTGTTAAAAGAACTACTGCATGCATGATGTAATTTAAAAATAGTCTGAAAATAAGAGTTGTTGTTGTTAAGTGCCTTCGAGTCAATTCCAACTCAGCAACTCTGTTTAGGGTTTCCTAGGAGCAGCTGGTGAGCTTAAACTGCTGACTTTGTGGTTCAAATGGACCTTGCAGTCCAGCCCATTAACTTACAGCGCTACAACTATTTGTGACACTTTTGAATGGGCTCAAACATGACAATTGTGATGCTGGCACAGGATTGGGCAGTGGTGCGTTCTGTTGTACAGAGGGTTGCGATGAGTCAACTCAACAACTAAAGCATTTGCTTTTTAGAGCTAATGCTGATGCCCCATAATATCATCATACTCAAGTTGGACCTCCAGAAGAAGAATGGCCATCTGCCTCACCCACTGTTGGATCTTCAGTAGGATTGGTTGGGACCCTCGTGGTCCCCAGAGACCCTCGTGGTGACCAAGTAAGGGTCGGGGCAGGCTAGTAAGGCACAGAGGAAACTGCCAGCCTCTGCATTGCATCCCCAGGTCAGCCTCGCCTGAATCTAAGGCCTGTTGTCCCAGAAAGAAGAACTGAAATCCAGTTTGCTGAATTGTAAATTGAGTCTCCATTTTTGTCTCTCAAAACACCTGTGTCTGCAGTTAGTGTCTCATGAGAGCTCTTGAGAGCTGACACATGCTTAGGAATTTTCAAGCAAAACTACTGGAAACCCCCAAGTTTCTTCCCATTTGGTGGTTTTGCCTAGCTCCTTAGAACAAATACGTCAAGTTCTTTAAAAGAGGCAGTTGTGGATAAGTCCGTGATTTTCTGGGTTTCTTTCTGCCTAGGATGCCTTTGAGAATGCATTTCTTGAGCACCTGTTCACTTTTCTCCCCTGCACTGTTGGCTTTCCTTTTTACTTTCGAGTGTTGATTGCACCCCTCTGTGCCTTTCCTCCAAGGTGGTCTCAGTGGCTCAAGTGGTCACTCTGGCCACCTCAGCCTAGCAGTGTCTTAGAAAAGAAACAGTAGGCCCCTGTAGCTGCTCCCACACACAAATTGGAATTCCCCTTTCAGAGCGGTCTCTCTATAATCTAGACCAGAGGCTGGCAAACTACAACCCACTGGGGGGCAAGCTAAGAAGGGCTTACATTTTTAAACGGCTGAATAAGATTTAAAGCAATAATATTTCATGTTAAAATTTTTTTTGTTTTCCTTTTTTTTGAGGCGAAAACGAGCTTTGTTACATACTTGGCATGTAACATAACATTTTAACTTATTTGAAATTGTCCATCAGTTGAGTTTTGTATCATTTTTTTTTTTTAACCTTGTGAATTGAGTGAAGGTTTTCAGAGCAGCTCATCAGTTTTACGTTCAACAAATCATATACTTTGCTTCATTACAATGATTGCAATCCCTTCCGAGTACCATGGTTATTCACTTTAACTCTTACACTCCTTCCTCTGTCTCCTGACACAGTCATCTTTCTTTCGCTAACCTCCCTCCTGTATATTACTGGCTTGTTAACATGTGATACCTTCTAGCCTGTGAATAATCCCTCCCCACACCATCATAGATTATTTTTTTAAATATTTTATTAGCTTATATAACATTGGTCTCATACACTATTTGGCTTTGTGTGATTGACTAATTTCACTCAGCATAATGCTCTCCAGGTTCATCCATGTTGTGAGGTGTTTTGCAGATTCATCTTTATTCTTCTGTTGCATAGTATTCCATTGTGTGTATGTTTAATCATTCTTCTGTTGATGGGCACTGAGGCTGTGTCCATCTTTTTGATTTGTCTTTTATAGACTGCAGTTTTTAAAAACTTTTATTGTGAATTTATTGAAGGTTTACAGACAAGATCATCAGCTTTACCTTCAACAATTTATACACTTTGCTTCATCTCCATGATTATAATCCCCTCCCTGCAACAACAGTTACCCTACATCCTCCCTGTGGCTCCCTATTTACATCTTATATTTTTTACAAATGAACAAAGCAAAAATATTTGATGTACACATACAAAACAAAAAGTATTTATTTATTTAAATATCCAAAAGGCACATTCTACCAGCCAGTCTCCTGCCCTCAGGCACACAGCCATACTCAGTCCATGGCTGTAGAGGCTGCAGCATGCCATCACCTCTACCAACCATCTCTGCTGTGGTAGATGGAATATTGAAGGATCCTGTATTCTTCTGCATTCTGGTCTCTCTGTCTCTTAACTGGTGCGTTTATGGTGCATTTAATCCATTTACATTCAGTGTAGTTATCTATAGATAATGAATTGATTGCTGTCATTTTGCTGTGTGCTTTTCTGTGGTGTTGCTGCTTTCGTTAGGCCACGTTTTCTGCACTGAGTTCATTTTGTGCATTTTCATTTTCATATTTGTTAATGTTTACTAAATCTTTCAATTTTCCATATTTTATTTTGATGTGCAGGTATATTAATTTTCTCGGAACTTATTATTATTTTTTTTTCTGCTTAAAACAATCTGTTTTATCTTGAAATTTACTTGACTTCCTTGCCATTCAGAAGTTCTGTATCTACACTATTCTCTTTACTTTGTAGTTAATTTCATTATACATTGATACCTCTGGTTCTCAATTTTCAGGCTTGTAAATTTGTTTTACTTTAAATACTTCTATATCTGGATTGAGTTCTGGGTGGTGTTGTCAGGTGTGGTAATCTCAGGTGGTTGTCTCTCTGTCTAAAGAACACTCTTGAACATTTTTTGTAAAGTTGGTCTGGCCATTACAAATTCCTTTTTTCATTTCAGTTTATCAGGAAATGTCCTAATTTCACCATCCTATTTTTAAGGGACAACTTTGCTGAATATATGATTCTTGGTTGGCAACTATGTCATCCCGTTGCATTCTTGCTTGCATGGTTTCTGCTGAGAAATCAGAGCTTAGTCTTATTGGTTCTCCTTTGTAGGTAACTTTTTTTCCTGAGCTGCTCTCAGGATTCTTTCTTTGTCTTTGGATTTGCAAAGTTTGAATAGTGTCTTGGTGTTTTTCTTTTGGGATCTTTCCTATTTGGGGTTCGTTCAGTTTCTTGTATGCTTTATCTTTCATGATGTTAGGGAGGTTTTCTTCCAACAGTTCTTCAGCAATTTTCTCTGTGTTTTTTGTCTTTCTCTGTTCTGGAATTCCAATCACCTGTATATTGTTTCTCTTTATGGTGTCCCTCATAAGTAAGTCTTAGGCTCGCTTTGGATTTTTTCACTCTTTTTTCTGATTCTTCTTCTAGCATAATAGTACTGAAAGATTTATCTTCAGGCTCACTAGTTCAGGCTTCCATTGCTTCACATCTACTCCTTTGCCCTTTCATTGCATTGTTCATTTCATAAATATTAGTATTAATCTAGATTTCTAATTGCAGGATTTGTATTGTTTTAAAACTTGCCGTTATTTTGTCTGAAGTTTTTCTGTGTTTACCTTGCTATCCTCTCTTTTGTCAATCCTTTGAAGGGACCTAAATATTCTTTTGAATTCTTTTTCAGTTAGTTCCATTATCTTTCTTCCTCAGAAAGATTTTTTTGCTCTACATCTTAGTCATTTATTTGAGCCATTCTTTTCTTCATGTGAGCTTAATTTGTTGTCTCTGGGCCTTGGTGAGGTTGTTGTATTTGTGTTTAATTGGTGATCGTATGTTGATTTGGTCTTAGGCCCTTAGCATCTGTTTCCTGTGAGTATAATTAGAGAATGGAAGCCTGTGTATCGTTCTTGTTCACCGTTAGTGCACCTCAGTTTAGGGTAGGTGTGATGGTGATGGCTGCTGTCTGTCATTGATCAGGTGGTATAGGAGCTGGTATTGACTCTTGTCCAGTGGGTGGAGCTGCAGAAGGGACAGTTGTGGCAGGGCTGTGTGGGTACAGTTGCTGTCTCAGGTGGGAAAGAGAAAACCTCGCCCCTCACACACACATACATACACACAAACAATAAACAAACAAGAAACCAACCATGAAAAGGTAAAATAATAGAGAAAAAAGTAGTAAAAACAGGTGGCAACCCCCCCAAAAAAACCCATACATATGTATACATATATTTATACACTTATAACAACTATAAAGACAAAAGAGGGACAGGGAAATGGAGGTATAGAAAAGAGAAAATAAAAGGGAAAAAACCCACCTTAATAATTAAAGGGAAAAGAGGGATGGGAAAATGGAGCTATAGAAGAGAAAAATAAATAAAAGGAAGAAATTAAAAAAAAAAACACTTAGCAAAACCAGCGAGAGGAGGAAAAAAAAGAAGAGAGGAAATGAGAAATGAGAAGGGAAAGAAAACCAAAAGCAGAGAGAGAAAGGATAAAATTCAGGCGAATGGGAAGAGAAGGAGGAGAAATAATAGATAAAAACAATGAAACTGCAAAAGAAAAAAACATAAATCCAGTGTAGCTCTTGGGCCTGAAGTGGAGAAAATTCTGGGGGTTCCTGCCAGCCAGGTTGCTCAGAAGTAGCTGTGGGAGGGATGCGATAGTGGAGTTCTGTTGGTCTCAGTGTTATCTGTTTAGAGCACTTAGTTCCTAAGTAGTTTGTGAAGGCCTGTGATGGAGCTAGTTTCAGTATCTGTTAGGAATACAAGGCAGTTGGTCTGGTGGTTCTGTGGGTTCTGTAGGTCCTAAGCCAATTCCACCTGTATCAGGCACCAAAACATCAGACAAAACAGAGCAGGTAGACCCGCCTCACACTGCTGTGGTTCCCAACCACGTGACTCTAAACTTCTGGAGAAGAGGACTGAGCTGGAGGTAGATGAGGGTGGTTGCTGAGCACAGCCCTGGTCACCAGAGGAGCTTGTGGACAAAGAAGGAATTGATCTTACCTTTCCAGTCACGCGTGTGAGTCTTCTCTGCCAGGCCACCTTCTGGTGCCAGAGCTCCTCACAAAGGTTCAAGGTGGCCATGCCTCGTCTGGCCAACTGATCACCAGTCAGTCTCCCCTATCTCGCTGTCCCTGCCCAGCTTCTCCCAGCAAGCACTCAGTCCACTACTCTAACCTTTCTTCTGAAGTTTAGGGTTCCAGGATTTTCATCTAGGTGTTTCATTTGGTCTCTCATGTCTTTGTTGTTGGATGTTAAAATTCTATGAAATTCAAATTCCACTGCCCATAAAGTTTTTATTTGTTTTGTTTGCTTTTTGCCTGTAAAGTTTTATTGAAATACAACCATGTTCAGTAGAAATTAATTGGTTAAAATACTCAAAGCACCAATATGTTCTCATACTATCTATGATTGCTTTTAATACAATACAATGGCAGAGTTGAACAGTAGCGATAGAAACCATATGACCCTTACAGCCAAAAATATTTACTTTCTGACCCTTTACAGAAACCATTTGCCAACCCCTGACCTAGAACTAGCAGCCCACATGCCCTTCCCCTTCTCATGTCTGGCATTGGAATAAGGAAACAGGAGCCTCTGCCATCGGCTCAGTGATTTTTGTCCCCTTAGGGCTGCGGAGTGGCAACTGGACCAGCCGTCTTGGAGTGGCCGGCTGCGGATCACTGCAAAAGGGCAGGTGGCCTACATCAAACTGGAGGATAGGACCTCAGGTAAAGGCAGGAAAGGCTTGTGGGGGGCTGAGGTGCCACATTTCTTGTTTATGAAAGGAGAGGCAGCTGGGGGGCATGGGGAAAACGAAGGAATCACACTTTACCAGTCTCCTGTGTGATTGCTTTGCCAGGCCGCCTTCTGGTGGCAAAGCTGCTCACAAAGGTTCAAGATGGGCATGCCTCGTCTGGCCAACCGTTCCCCAGTCTCCCTCTCTCGCTGTCCCTGCTCAGCTTCTCTTCCCAGCAAGCATTCTGTCTATTTCTCTACCTTTTCTTGGTTCGTGGAACCTGTTCTGGATATCACAGTCAGATCCCAGTACACTTGGTTGTAGAACCTCTGCCCCGGGTGTAAAGGCTAGTATTTTCTGTTCCTTTTGGAGTCTATAGGAAAATCCTAGTTGTAGAGGTCAAGGAAAGGAACCTTACACTGATCTACGTAGAACACCCTGGAGCTGCCTTGAAGTCTGGGTGAAGTTGCTCATGCCACTGAGCCCCGGTTTTTAACTCAGAAATTCTGTTTCTCTACTACATGGTGGTAGGAGCTCTGGTAGCATAGTGGTTACGAATCGGGCTGCTAATCTCATGGTCAGTAGTTCGAAATTACCAGCTGTTCCATGGGAGAAAGATGAGACTTTTTGCTCCTGTAAAGATTTACGGAGACCTCGGAAACCCAATATAGGGTCACTATGAGTTGGAACCAACTCCATGGCACATAACAACAACAACAACTACATGGTGATAAGTCCCCAGATCTGACCCTGCTGTCTGAAAACCAAACCAAGTCCAAGCCCACTGCCATCGTCAGTTCCCACTCATAGCAACTCTATGTAGAGTTTCCACAACTGAAAACCTTAATGGAGCAGACTGGCTCACCTTGCTCCTGCCGAGTGGCTGGTGGGTTTCAACTGCTGACCTTATGTTAACAGCCTAATGCCTAACCCACAGTGCCACCAGGGCTCCTTGTGCTAACAGAAGGAGCAAGAAGTCAACCTAGTCATTTTTCTCTGGCGAGAGGACAAGCAAATCTGTATTGGGGTCAGCTGGCAGATGTCGCCTTTAGGAAAATCTTTCCAGAAGTCGAGTCCCCAGTGTCCCTGAGTGAGCTGTGAGGCTGACATTGCCAGGGGCAGTCAGCCCTGGGGCCCAGGACAGTGGTCAGCACAGTGCCTGCTTGGTTTGGTCCCTCAGCATCCAGTAGACTTTTACTGTAACATGTAGCGACTTTCCCTTGTGAGGTAGAAGATAGTACAAAGATTTCAAGGCTGACTGGCTGCTTCCTCACAACTGCACCACTCCTAACTGAGCTGTGGGACCTTGGACAAGCCTCACGACCTCTGCCCCCTTGGCCTCCTTAATACAATGGAGAGTAGTTTCGTTGTGTCTCCCAAGGCTGTTGGAAATATTCAGTGAGCAGCTATTTATCATTGCTTCATGAACTTCAAAGTGACCCCAGACATTCTGATATATGGGATTGGCAGGGTGAGTTGCCATGAGAATTGCTGGGATGTCCGATGTCACATCACAAGGGAATATGTCAGCTCCTCTGGTGTCTGGGTTGTTGGGAATGATGGTTTAATAAGACACACCCTGTGCTGAGGACTGAGTCCCGCCTGCAAGGCCTGCCATAATGTGCTCTGCACTCAGGGTCATGCCCACTGCATCCGGTGAGCTTGTTTTTAAAGAATATGTGTGTGTGTGGGTTTACACACACGTGAGCACATGAGGGAAAGTCAAAAAGTATTGCTATAAAACCATAAAGCCATTTTTTTAAACAAAAATGTCAAAATGTGAAACTACTGTTAGGCTTCGGGTTGCTACTGTTCCTTGCTGTATCTTCCATCTTGGTCTATGCAGTTCTGAAAGCGCTGTTTCCATTTCTTGATAAGCACTGGACTGTGAACCAAAAGATCAGTGGTTTGGCAATTCAAATCTACCAGCTGCTTCTCCTAAACCCTATACAGGATCACAGTGAGACAGAACTGACAGGACGGCAGTTAACAACAACAACCCATCCCTTAAGAATTCTGCACTCTGATTCACGTCACATTAAATGACAGTTTTAGCATCATCAAAGGATTCAAATCGTGTTCTTTTAAATGTTCTTTGAGTTTCAAGAACAGAAAAAAGTCTGAAGGGACAAGATCAGGGCTGAAGGGAGGCTAGGCTAAGTTTCCCTATTCAATTCTTATTGGATAGCCCTTACTACCCTAGAACCTATTGGCCTGTTTCTCATCAATTCAATTTTCTTAAAACTTCTTCCTCATGATCCTGTGTCCTTTGAGAAAAATCTATCAGGATTACCCCTTTGGAATTACACATGGTCTCCATAGTCTGCCTTGACTAATTGACCCAGCAGAACTTCTCGGAAGCTGCTGTTTTTGATTGGAACTTTTTTTTTAAGGTGCTCTAGTAGTGTGGATACGAATCGGGTTGCGAACCTCAAGGTCAGCAGTTCGAAATTACCATCTGTTTTGTGGGAGAAAGATGCGGCTCTGCTCCTGTAGAGATTTATGGCCTCAGAAACCCTATACAGGGTTGTTACAAGTTGGAACCGACTCTAGGGAAAATCACCACCACCATCAATGAGACTAGGACAGTCCTGGTGTTGTGCTGCAGGTTAATGGCGCGGACTGCAAAGTTGGTTTGAACTGTAAGGTCAGCAGTTCAAGTTCACTAGTTGCTCCTTGGAAACCTTATATAAAACTGACTTGATGGCACTTAACAATGACAATGAGACTAAGACAAGTCTATTACTGAGAGAACTGTCTGCAGCCGTCTACTGATGGTATATTGTTGTTAAGTGCCGTCGAGCCAACTCCAACCCATAGTGACCCTGTATAGGGTTTCTGAGGAGCAGCTGGTGAGCTTGAGCCGCCGACCATGCAGTTCAAATGGCTTTACAGTCTGGCACCTTAACCCACAGTGGCACACATAGACAAGTTTAAATGTGTTCTCTTTGGAATAAACTTCAATCCATGTAGAACTGGAACCCAAGTAACTACTTTTTGACTTAACCCACGTAAGCATCTTATAAGCTGAATTGTGCCCCCTGTCCAAAATATGTGTTGTAACTCCTAACCTCTATGAGGAATCCTGGAGTCCTGGTGTGGCACTGCAGGATAATGCACTGAACCACAAGATTGGCAGTTCAGACTTAACCAGTTGCTCCTTGGAAACCCTAAAGAGGGTTGCTATGAGTTAGAACTGACTCATGTCACTTAGCAACAACAGATACCAATTCGTCGTGTGGGAGATCCTGGGCAGGTTATGGAGCCTGCACCTGTATTGTTATGTTTCTAACTGCAGTTGCCTAACATTCAGGTGCAAATGAGCCAAACTTAACAGGTTATGCCTCAAGAGAAGCCAACTGTGGGAGAAGCTGACTCTATTTCATTGTGATTCAAAAAAGGTCCTCTTTGAGGAACAGAAAAAAAATATGCTCTCTTTAAACAATGGATTGGAAATATATTTGATTTATAGATGAAAAGATTGGAAGGTTGGAAGGGGGGATTGTTGTTGTTAAGTGCAGTCGAGTCAGTTCCGACCCATAGCGACCCTGAACAGGGTTTCCGAGGCTGTAAACCTTTACGGGAGCAGAACGCCTCATCTTTCTCCTGTGGAGCTGCTGGTAGTTTCGAACTGCTGACCTTGCGGTTCGCAGCCCGATTCGTAACCACTACGCTACCGGAGCTCCTTGGAAGGGGGGGATACTGATGCAGAAACCCCGCATCATGTAATGAGAGAAGAGGAAGTGGCTTGAAGTCACGGCCTCCTGTGACGTGAAGGCCATTGTGAAGGAAAATGAGACAGTGAGAAAAAGTCCTTCATATTAAGACCGAGATCACTATAGTACTTGTATTTATCTTCCCAGGTGTCTTTATAACCCTCAATAAAAATACTTTTAAAAAATGAACTCTGTATGAACAATTCAATGACATTGATGACATTCTTTGAGTCATATGCCTAGTCTCCCCTCCTTTACCAAGTCCTTTATATTAATATTCACTCACTGCCAACCAAGTTTCCTTTCTAGTGTTTAGAATTGCTGATGTCAAAGCATTTGACTTGAAATGAAACCAGAAATCAGAATTATTTTACATGTAATCTTATGATCCCTGGTGGTACAGTGGGTTAAATGTGGGGCTGCTCACAGAAGGATTGGTGGTTTGAAGCCACCAGGCAGCCACTCCCTGAGCGAAAGTTGAAACTGACTGCTCCAGTAAGCTTTACAGGTCACCTGACCTGCCCTGGAGGGTCACCATGAGCTGGAAGCCACTTGATGGCAGTGGATTTGATTTGGCTTGGGGCAATCTGATGTTGAAATGTTTGAAATAAATGAAACAAAAACACTTTGAAACTGTAAACTGGGTTTGACCTCCTCTGACTTAAACCTTTCTGTCTGTAATTAAGGCACCCTGGTGGCACAGTGGGTCAAGTGTTGGATTGCTAATTGCAAGATGAGCGGGTCAAACCCATCACGAGCCACTCAAAGAGAGAAAGATAGGCTGTCTGCCCCCACAAAGATTTGCAGTCTTAGAGACCCTAAGAAGTTCTACACTATCCTAGTGCATCATTGAGTTAGAATCAACTTAAGGGCAGTGAATTTGGTTTCTGGTAGTTAGATTACCTGTGTCTTTCCCTCGCTGAGACTGGATTTCATTGGAATCCCAGAGTAAGGTTTGCCTGTGGGCTTCACTGACAGGGCCACTTGAGGGAACAAAGGCCCACACAGTAGTAGGGTAGAAGTGTCAGGCAGGGAGGGACTGGTGGCTTACCCTGCCCACTGCTTTCAGGGGAGCTCTTCGCTCAGGCACCAGTGGATCAGTTTCCTGGTACTGCCGTGGAGAGTGTGACGGATTCCAGCAGGTACTTCGTTATCCGCATTGAAGATGGAAACGGTACGTGTGCTTGGTGCTATGCATCTTGAGAAAGGTGTTTTCCTCTGCCTCTGAAATGTGGGTTTGATCATGTATCATCTCCCAGGTCGGCGTGCGTTTATTGGAGTTGGCTTCGGGGACCGAGGTGATGCCTTTGACTTCAATGTTGCATTACAGGACCATTTCAAGTGAGTGGTCTTCAGAAACGCATGCTCATGCCTCCCCCTTCCCTAGACAGACTGGTGTCCCAGGCTAGGATGCCCAGGTGGCTGTGTGTGGTTTGTTAGCAGACAGGTGTTCTCCATCAAGGCAGGCCCCTCTCTGCCACTCCACCTGCCTCCATCTCTGCTTTGAAGTCACCTGTTTTTCCCGAGGGCCATCTCTGCCCTCAGCAGCTCCTCTGGCCTTCCTGGGCCTGCTCTTCCCAGGCCACCCACCAGGCCCCCTGCCACTCATGAAGGTGCCTCTGGCTCTTCCCTGACCTGGTGTGCTGCGTGGGTGGCTGCTGATGGGTGGTTCCTTAGACAGTGGGAACCTTGTGTTGCTCTCTGCTTCCTGGCCATCTATCTGGCCTCACCGTCTACCTTCTGAACTTGTGGGGGGTGGTAGGACCTTGTCTTCATTCTCAGGCCAAGTGCCAGGCAGGGCCAGGTTCTCACATTTCCTGAAGGCCACTGAGTGCCCGGTGGTGTGCTTGGGCCCTCTGCATAAACAGTTTCATTGACTTTTCATCGCAGTTCTTACTACAGAGTTGTCCAGTTTGTTGATGGGGAAGCTGAGGTGCACATAGCTGTCAGAGCCAGGATTCGAGTCCAGGCCTAACTCCCTGCTTGTGCCCGTTCTACTTCCCTGCTTCAGTAAGAGCCTCGGCTTGGACTCCAGCCAGCTGACCTCTTCCTTCCTTGCTTTTCTCTGCCGGTTCTCTCCCCAGGTGGGTGAAACAGCAGTGTGAATTTGCAAAACAAGCCCAGAACCCAGACCAAGGCCCCAAATTGGACTTGGGCTTCAAGGAAGGCCAGACCATCAAGCTCAACATTGCGGTGAGTCCTCCCTCTCTTAACTGTGTTTCCATGGCCACCAAACCATCCTGGCCAGAACCCATCCGTCAGCAGATGTTTATTGAGTACCTGCCTGTCCCAGGTACTGTGCCAGGTATGTCGGCAGGGATGAACAAGTGGAACTCACGGATGAGCTGAGATAGAAAAAGGAAAATGCAATTACAACATGGCAAGAGCAGTTCTGTCACCAACGGTATCCTGGGTGCTGTGGGCTTCCACAGCAGGTGCATACAGCCCAGAGTTGGGGAAACCAAGGAAGGCCTCCTGGAAGGAATGACCTACACACAAGTAACAGGGCTAGAGTGTGGTTTGTGCAAAGCTTCTGGGTTGAGAAGAAGCATCAGAAATGAGAAGTAGTATTTCTGGCTACTAACGTGGGTCTGCAGGGGATCAGTGTGCTCATTCCAAGCTGTGGATTGGCCTCATGCTTTGGGTGAGAAGTTGTTTGGGAGCTCTGGGAAGGAGGTGTCCAGATGGTGGTGGGTGACTGGCCAGTGACCCTTGATCAGGGATGTCATGGGCTGAGCAACTTCTGCTGGTACTGTCAGTTGGACTCCTGTGTCTCTCTGTTTTGAGCTACCCTTACCTGACTTTTCCCTTCTTTGCCTTTGCAGACAGCACCCAATCCCTCTGAGATCAGGAAAAGGTTGGGCTGGACTGGGTTGTTAAGACTTGGCTTTTATCTGGCTGCAGGGGTGGATTGGGTGTTGGGGTTGATTCAGACACTAATTTAGGGGAGCCAAGGATCCAGGGGTTTGTTTTTTGAAGAAACTGTAACCCTAAAATAATGCTCTTTACTTACTGTCTCTTTTTCCCCTCTTCTGCTTCATGCTGGTGATGATTTGGGACCTTGAAGTTGGCCAGCTGGCCCTTAAGAGAAAATGCAGTTCAGATCCAGTGGACTTGTTGAGATGTGATTCTTGGTCTTTCTTGGAGGAAAACTAACATTTAATGAGCATCCACTGTGGGCCAGGTAGTGTTCTTAGACACTTTCTCATACGAATTCCATCTCCTCCTTTTATAGACAAGAAAATGGAGGCTCAGAGAGGTCAGAGAACGTGGCCAGGGTCACAGAACTAGAAATCACTGACCTGGCTGGATTCACACTGAGATCTTTGAGGTCTCTGGACTCAGAGCTATGGTCCTGCCATTTGATTTAGCTACAGCTTTCTTACAAATCAGGAACTTGTTGTCTTTGTCTTTGAAATTTGCTCTGGTTTCTGGCTCACACTTGTTTTGTTTTAAAATATTTTTCATAAGTTATAATAAAATATATACAAAATAAGATCATAAGTGCAGAATTCAGTGAATTTTTGAAAAACTGAACTTCCCCAAGTAAGCAAGCACCCAGGTCAAGAAGCAAAGTGTCTATACGCTGGAAGCCCCTCTCCTGCTCTTCCTAGCCCAAGTAACCACCATCCTGACTCTGAATACCACAGAGACTGCCTGTCTTTGACGTCTATGAGTTGAACCAAATACTGTATACTCTCTTATGAAAGGGTAAGTCGGAGTATTGCTACTAGTGTTCTAGTTCATACATGCATGAGTTTACTCCAAATACAAGGTATTGAAACCTGTGTCTGCAATCAATGGCTAGCTGCAGACGAGTTCTCTCGGTAATACACATGTCTTAGTCTCATTGCAATGTCTTTCAAAAAAAAAAAAAGTGGCTTACAAGAGGATCTACTAGGCCAATTAAATTCAAAACAGAGAGGTCAGCTCAGAAGACTGTAGCCACTGTTTTTTGGTATTCCAAAGGGGCAATCTTGATAGATTTTCTTGAAGGACACAGGACAATCATGGGGACTTACTAGGGAGGAAGAAGTTTTAAGAAAACTGAAAACTGCATTGGTGAGAAAAAGACTAGGAAAGTTTTGCCAATTGTATGAAATCGCTTTTATAAAAAGACAAATATACATCTACATAAGGAAATCAATTTTGTATATAGGTGTACAGCAAGAAATATGTGTGTATATACATGCATCTTAGATGTACCTGTAGGCGTGAATAGATACATGTTTGTGTGTGCTGCATACATATGCATATGCAAGGGTAAGTCAAAAGTATTTCTGTAAAAGCTGGGAAAACTTTATTAAACAAAATAAAATGAACAACTATTATTTCTCAACATATCTTCCATCCAGGTCTCTGCATTTCTGAAGGCAATGTTTCCATCTCTCTAAACCTTTCTTTTTCTTTTTGTTTTTTAAATTGATTACTATGCATGTTAACCCTGTAGGGCAGAGGAGAGTGGCTCTGTAGGGTTTTTCTTGTTGTTGTTATAGCTTTTTATTGTGAATTGAGTGAAGGCTTACAGACAAGATCATCAGCTTCATATTCAACAACTCATACATTTGGTTTCATCTCAATGATTTCAATCCTCTCCCTGCAACTGCGGTTATCCTGTTTCCTGTCTGTGGCTCCCCATTTACATCTTATAGTTCACAAGTGAATGAAGCAAAAATATTTGATGTGCACTTATAAAACAAAAAATATCTATTCATTTAAATGTTCAAAGGACACATTCTGCAAGCCAGCCTCCTTCCCAGAGGCACACAGCCTTAGTCAGACCTGGAGCCTGCAGCTGCTCTGTCTTTCCAGCAACCGCCTCTGCTGTTGCCACTTTTCTACTCATGCTCATTCTTCTTGATGGTCCTGGGATCGTCTGTTCCTGAAATGGAAGATTATCTGTTCCCCCTTTTTAGTTACACATCTTCCACAATTTCACGTTTGACAGTCTCAATGAATGTTGCTAACAGTTACCCAATTGTGTCATAAAATCTTTATAGCATCATCCCCTCCCCCCTTTCACCAGACCCATTGGAAAAGAGGAAACTCTTCAGTGGGGATTCTGCCTTGAATTTTTTTTCTGTCACGACACTGTACCTGCTCACCTGATGTCCTTTGAGAATTTGGGAAACCTGATCTCATCCACCTTGCAGCCCTGATCTTGCCCCTTCAGATTCTTTCTGTTCCCCAAACTCATTTTAAAGGAACACAATTTGAGTCCCTTGAGGATGCCCAAACTGCCGTTTTGATCTAAGAGTGCAGATTTCCTCAGGGAAGGGTTAGATGGAAACAGCACCTTTAGAAGTATAAAGGCCTCGATGGAGGAAGATACGTTGAGAAACAGTCGCTTCACATTTTGATGATAAGGGTTCTGATTCTATAGCAATACTTTTTGACTGACTCTTGTATATGTGACTTTTTTCTTTACTCAAGCTGATATTTGTAAGATTCATCCCTGTGGTGTGTTTCGTTATTGATCCTCAGGTGGTGGCATATTCCATGTGTGCTTAGAAAATAGACCCAGTGTGCTTCCCCACTTCACTAAAGAGTTCCCATTTGGAGCTGTGCAGCTGAGAAAGCACTAGTGCGTGCGTGTCCTTCGGTGCACACATGTATGTGTTCCTGCTGCAGGGCTATAGTTCAGCCAACTTACACTCCCACCAGCAGGGCCTGAGTGCTGTGCTTATGTCCTGTCTTGGTCAATACTGAGGCTCTTCCTGGTGGGTGTGTAATGGTGCTTCATCTTGATTTGCATTCCCTGATGAAAGAAAGTCAGGTGCTTACTTTTTAAACCATGACTGATAGCTTTAATTGGTGATGTGTTGAATGTAGTTCCAACAATTAAGGTGTGGCCCGGCCCTTGACTATCTTGGTTATACAGACACTTGGAGCCTTGGGGTCCCATTGGTCATATCTTTGGGGGTTTTTGCTAGCAGTTGGGACTGCAGCAGAGTAAAGTGATTTGCGTTTTTTTCTTCTCCTTAGAACATAAAGAAGAAGGAAGGAGCTGCCGGGAGCCCCCGCACACGGCCTGCTAGCACAGGAGGACTGAGCTTGCTTCCTCCTCCCCCCGGGGGAAAAGTCTCTACCCTCATCCCGCCCCCTGGAGAGCAGTTGTCTGTGGGGGGGTCTCTCACCCAGCCGGCCATTGCTCCCAGTTCAGGTCAGTACATAGATAGTAGGAATTGTAAGCCCATTGCTGCTGAATCAATTCTGACTCATGGTGCCCCCTATGTGTCAGCGTAGAACTGTGCTCCTTGGGCTTTTCAGTGACTGGCCCTTCTTCCAAGGTGCCTGTGTGGACTCGAACCTCCAGCCTCCAGGGTTAGGACTTGCGGCATTGTTTCTCAGAGTGGGGTCCTTCTTGGAGAGAGCCTTCTGGGGCTGAAATCTGCACTCTTACTGGACTCCCCCACCCCCAGTGGTATTTAGAGGCTCATTGAGGTATGGGAACCACTGCCTCAGGCCCCCTTGGTTGCTGGTGGTTTTTTGTGGGTTTTTTTTCTTTTTAGTATTTGTTGATAATATACACGTCAAAAACATACACCAATTCAAGTTTCTGCTTGTACAATTCAGTGACACTGATTACATTTTCCAAGTTTGCAGCCATTTCCCCCTCCTTGTCCTCTCCACCTATGCATTATTCACTGTAAGATGGAGCGCACCTGACCCTGGGGACCCTACACCAGTCCCTGCCATCCACTGCTCCCATTCTGTGAACAAGACAGACAGTTGGCATGTCTGCAGACAAAATGGTTCCAGATAATGAGTTGTGAATGGCTCGCCTGTTTTGATCACTTCCTGCGTATGCTGCAACTCCAGACTGTCTAAGCTTAAATTGTAGCTCACCAGCAGTGTGATCTTCAGAAAACTCCTCACTTTTCTGAGCCTCAGTTTGCTCCTCTGTGTGATGGAGATAGTAATGACACCGACAACATAGGTTTTAGCATCTTTGTCACCACTATGGACCTAGTCTAAGCACTGAATATACATTAACTCGTTTCATCCTCACTCCAGTCATCTCAAGTAGTCTTGTTAGTGTCCCCATTTTAGAGATGGGGAAACTGAGACTTCCGTGAGCTGCCTTTTCCCAGGGGCGGTATGGATGTTTAAAGGAGATAATGTACTTTGACCATTTGTAAACTGTAAAACCAACCCATTGAGGGCCCTGGTTTTTTATCTGACCTCCCAGCCCAGAGCAGATAAGAAACAGCAAACTGGTGGGAAGGCGGAGGGTGGCAGGCGTGGGGTGTTCAGGAGGGATACTTGGCGGGCAGTGCTAAGGGAGGTACCAGAACAGCACAAAAGCAGGCACTATACCGTCAGTTGTACCACTCCTTCTGGAAAGCCCTCCCCAACACTTAAACCAGTTGTCTGGTGCATAATGGGCGCCCAACAACTATTGCATGGTCCAGACAGTGGACTGAGGATCTCACATTAAGATGACCTTGTGGTTTTAGTGGGCATTCATCTCTATTCAAGAAGCCAGGAGAGTAGTCTTAGTACATTTTAGACAGATTGTCAACATAAACAGCTGAAAACAAAGTCAGCTTCAGGCATGAGTGACGCTGGCGTGTGACTCACCCTCCCTCCCACGCCGCCTCTTTGCCTTGTATGTGACTCTGCCTTTTCTCCAGGCGACCCTGGGACTTGTGAAAAGGTGATGGAACCGTGGGAGCTCCTTGGTACTCTGTTGCCCCAAACATGTTTCACTGTGTGTCTTAGCTGCCTGGAATCACTGATTTGGGGTCATTAGTAGGATAAACTGATAAAAAAAAAAGAGAGAAAGAGAGAGATCTTTGACTTTGTTGTCTCCTTCTCTTCTTTCCCAACCCTGTCGACATCAATAGAAGGTGCCACCGTGTCCTGGCCACCACCCAAGGCTGCCACCGCTGATATCTGGGGAGACTTTACCAAATCCACAGGGTGAGGAAGTTCACATTCTTGTGGTGGGACTGGGGTCTCAGGGCTGCTTCTCTGAAAACCTGGATTGCTTCACATGCCTCCCTCCTGGCTGGTTTGTGTCTACACAGCAGCTCTGCTTTGGACATTGTCAGGCTAGCCAGGGCACAGAGCCCACTGGGGAGGGACAGGCATCTTCAGGAAGGCTTTGGCTGCTCTTCACTGCTAGGTGGCCGGGGACTGCCTTTTGCAAATCTTGCTGGTACCACCTTTAAACCACCTCACCAAATGCTTGATCTTGTCCTCAGTATATCTCCCCTCCCCCTGGCAAGTATCCCAGAGCTCTGGGCTGAGAGAAGACCCCATCCTCATGGAACCTCTGGTAGATCTCTTACCCTCTCTTGCACTGTAAAATATCATGACTGGTGAAAAGATGTCAAATTCCCATCACCCTATTACATATATGAGGGGCTTCAAAAAGTTCTTTGAAGAATTCCATTTTCCATGAACTTTTTTGAAGTACTCTAGTGTGTGCTCTAGGACACTAGGGGTCAGCAAGCTTTTTCTGTAAAGGACCAGATAGCAAATAGTTTGGAAAGTCCTGGTGTGGCGCTGTAGGATAAGCACTGGACTGCTAACTCTAAGGCCAATGGTTCAAGTCCATCAGCCGTCCCTTGTAAGCCCTATATGGGTCGCTATGAGTCGGAATTGACTCAAAGGCACTTAACAACAACAAGACCATGTAGTCTTTTTTTTGTTTTTCTTAAATGTTTTATTGTGAATTAAGTTATAGTTTACATGGGAGAACATTAATTTTAGATTCATTCTATCGTATATCATCTCATTGCCATGGTTACAATACCCTACATGCATCATCAACCAACCAAAGGGTATACCCTGCAATCCTGCTCCCTGCACCCCCCAGGTCTTCAGCACACAGTCGCTCTCCCTCTCTGGATCTAAAGTCTCCAGCTGCTCCATCGCTCCACGTCATCATCTCTGCCTCCATTTCAGGCATCACTGCTTCTCTGGGTAGGGTCCCGCTCTCTGCTCTTCTCCCTTGATGGTCCTAGGGACCTCCGCTCCTAGACTGAAAAGTTAATCACTCCCCTCCTTGCTATAAAACGTCTACCTTTACATTTCCAACCCTCACAATCAGTCCTGATAACAATTATTTACTATTGAATCACAAGAGACCCGTCTGCATTTCATTGCATCAGCCCCGCCTAGTCAGATTGCATGTAGTCTTTTTGTAACCAATCAGCTCTGTTGTTGCATGAAAGCAGCCACAGATAATAAGTAAACGAATGAGTGTGTGTACCCATAAAACTTTATTTGCAAAAACAGGCAGAGGGTCCAATTTGTCTTACAGACCCTTATTTGCTGACCCCTCCTCTACAACTTTCAGAGACGGACTTCTTGGATCACTTCAGCCAAGAGAAAAGATTTTACCTTTTGTCTGCTTGGTGTTTTCAAGCATGCGCGCCCTTACATCTCTTAGTCTTTTTACAGGTCAGTGTCCGGCCAGACTCAGCCAGGCACAGGCTGGGTCCAGTTCTGATGTGAGCCTGCTCTTTTCCTCCTACACCTTCTGGAAAGGAGCCGCCTCATCCGGAGGACATCACACTCCCTGCCAGACTGTGTTTGCAGCATGACTTTCTCCGCCATGCCTGGCCCCTTCGATACATTGGGTGTGTCAGGCAGCCAGTTGGCCCCTTGTCACACTGGTGCCCAAGATCCCAGGATGTGACCAGAACCCAGGAGAAGAAAAGCTCCAAGGGCCTCTCCCCTTCCTGTCCTCTTGCCATGAGAGAGACTTTGAGACTTGACCTCTTCCAACACAATGGCCCAAATTAAACACAAGCCCCAAAACAAAAGAAGGGGTAAAGTTTGCTGTCTGGATTCAGATCAGCCCTTCTCAGGGCTTACGTGTGCTGCGGGATTGCTGTCCAGAGACAGGTGCTTTCTGCATTCCCATTGGCTCTCTCCACTTAAGCTGTCTTCTGGATGAAGGGCTTCCTTCCTGATTTCTAGCAGGTTTACAGGCCGCAGCTGGATGAGAATCAGGAGTATTATGCAGCTTTATGGTTTCCTTTAAGTATTTACTTGGCATATTTGCTGCTCTGCACTAACCCTTTTTCTCTGCAAAAGGGACTGCTCCCGTGCTGTGTCCCAGCAGGGACATCTGAGGCATTCCCTGTCAGCACAGGGCTGCCCTGGGCCTCAGAAAGCAATGTGCATCTCTTCTAAGAACATGGTTTCTTTGTCTGCTGTGCCGAAGCAGGCGCTGGAGAGTGATGGAGTTGTGTCTGAGCAGGAAGTGGAAACTTTTCTCATGGAGGTGGGTCAGCCTCATCCACGGGCGGCTCTCTGGGGCTCACGGGGCATTCCTTGAAGATTTCTAAAGTGCGTTGTCTGCAGACAACCTCTGACAACCGCTGTTTTCTGTCTGTCACTGTCACTGACAGATAGAAGGAGTGTACTGGAAGTCCAGGCTTGCCTGGATTGCTGGTTCTTTAGAAATAAGTTGATCTGAGCACCCCTCTGGAATTCCTTTTATTGGCTCATCTTACCTCTCAGTTAAAAGGTTTTTTTGGTATGTGAAGGGTCAAGACCGTGAACTGAAAAAGAGTGTGGCCTGTTTGTGGGACCAAATTTTCTAAGATAAAGAAATAATAAAGATTTTTACTTCCTGTCAAAAATGAAATTGTTTTGGGGCAGCATGGCTGGTTAGTCTTCCTTCAGGACACCCCAGTGGAACTGGCAGCTACTTCAGTCACACAGGATGCATGGTAGGGCCAAGGTGTCAGCTTGGCCAAAGTGAGACGTACAACCTGGTATGCTGAGACAGGCAGACACATCTTCCCTCCCTGTGTTAAAGAACATGGTCTGTACCACCCTTGGGGCCAGGAGGAAAGTTGTTGTTCAGATCATTTTCTCTAGGGCCTACTTCTCTTGTGGCCCTAGGTTGAACTAGAGTATCTGGTTCCTTGCCTTCTGAAACAGGCAGGGGCCCTGCCTCCCCTCAAGGCCTCCCGGATATGGAACTGTCTCCCCACTTTGAAAGGATGTTGAGATGCACAGAGGTCCGAATGAAACTACACTCTTGCCTGAGGATTCTGTACAAAAGATGCAGCTTATAGTGGTTTGAGAAAGAGCCATTCTAGCTAATAAACATTTGTTATTTTTAGCTGCTGTCAGGTTGGTCCCTGACTCATGGCTACCTCATGCACAATGGAAGGAAATGATGCTGTCCACAGGATTGGTTGTGAATTGAACCATTATGAGAGTAGGGAAGAGACAAGAAATCAAGGATCCTCTTGCCCATTGGGTAAGGACAAAGTATCAAAGAATTCTGTGTAGTAAACTTGTGTCTGTTTCTCATCACGTTACTTGCCACTTAGACGAGAATTACTTTCTAAATTCTTGGAGGTTGGAAATAAGAAAACCCTTTCATTAGTTGTACTGTGTGTGGTGGAAGGTTTTAGATAAAGACCTGAGCTTTGTCTCTAGACTCACAGATGCATAACCACAGGTTCCTCCCCTAACCTCTGAGCACCACACAGATGAAGTTATAAAGCCCCAGCAGGATGCCCATTGGGTAGTGTTATTTAGAGTCCTGGTGTGATGCTGGACTAACTTCAAAGTTGGTGGGTCTAACCTCTGAAACTCTATACTGGGTCGCTATGAGTTGGAACCGACTTGATAGCACTTAACAACCAAAGTCAGGTTGGAGTCTGGAGTGACACTGTAGGATAAGCACTGGAATGCTAACCTCAAGGTGGCAGTCAAACCCATCAGCTGCTCCTCGGAAATCCTACACAGACACGATGAATTGGAAATGACTGGACAGCACTTGGCAACAACAGAATCGGGTTGCCATGAGTTCGAAATAGGTTCAAACTACAGACTGACCGACTGCTTAACCATCTAGTCATCAGGGCACTTATTTGAATCTGTACCTAGGAGAGAAGTCTTAAAATTTAAAATACCTTTGCATATCCAGCCCAATCTGCCCACAGAGCAGCAGCTATCCAGTGCCCACTGTACCTCAGAGGCACTCCATTGACTTCCAGTCACCTTGGAGAGTAAGCTCTACCCCTTGGTCATTTGGTAATCTGCCGCATTAACATGAAGGGGGATGGAACTACCCTGTATGAAGCAAGTCCTATAGGCTGTACAGCTCAAGAGGGACAGACAATTCTGATTTGAAAAGGTTGGGTGCTGGAGCCAGACTGGGCTCAAACCCCAGCTATGCCACTAACCAGCTCTGTGACTGGTTACATCTCACTGTGTCTTATTTGTGAAAAACGGGGATGAGCAACACCTCCAGGAGCCCAGCAAGTACAATGGTTAAGCATTTGACTGCTAATTGAAAATTCAGCAATTTGAACCACCATCTTTTCTGTGGGAGAAAGACTAAGTTGGCTTTCATAAAGATAGCACCCTTGGAAACCCTATGGGGCAGTTCTACTCTTAGGGTTTCTGTGAGTCAGAACTAATTCGATGACAGGTTTGGGTGGGGTTTGTTGGTTGGTTCAGACATACAGTGGTGGCCTGCATGTTGCAGTGATGCTGGAAGCCATGCCTCTAGTAGTTCAAATACCAGCAGAGTCGGTCATGGTGCACAGGTTTCAGCAGAAATTCCAGATTAAGAAGAAAGGCCTGGTGATCTACTTTGAACAGTTGTAGGTGCCATTGAGTTGGTTCTGACTCGTAGCAACCCTGTTCACAACATCCTCACAATCGTGTTTGAGCCCACTGGTGCTGCCACCGTACCAATCCATATCGTTGGGGATCTTTTTCTTTTTCACTGACCCCTCCACTTTACTAAGTATGACTTATTTCTCCAGGGACTGGTTCCTTCTGGTAACATGACTACAGTATGAGAGATGAATTATTCATTGTCCAACTTTTACATAAATGCCATGGGCTTTAGTCCTCGAACTTACATCTTTGCCCTGGACACTTTAAAGAGGTCTTTTCAGCATAGTTGTTCAGTGCAACATGTTTGATTTCTAGACTGGTGCTTCCATAGTATTGAGTGTGGATCCAACAAAATAAAGTCTTGGATGATTTCAGTCTTTTCTCCATTTATCACAGGGTTATTCATTGGTCAGTGGTAAGGATTTTCATTTTCTTTGAGCCAAGGTGCAATCCATACTGAAGGCTTTAGCATTTGATCTTCATCAATAAGTATTTCAAATCCTGTTCACACTTCCTGCAAACAAGTTTGTGTCATTTGCTTATCACAGATTGTTAATGAGTTTTCCTCCATTTCTGAGCCACGTTCTTTTTATAATCCAGGTGCTCAGATTATTTGCTCAGCATACAGATTGAATAGTATGGTGAAAGGATGCAACCCTGGCGTACACCTTTCCTGATTTTAAACCATTTTTGTATCTCGTTCTGTTTGAGCAACTACCTCTTGGTCTAACTACAGGTTCCTCATGAGCCAAATAAAGTGTTCTGGAATACCCATTCTGTACAATGTTGTCCATAGTTTCTCATGATCCACACAATCAAAAGCCTTTACATAGTCAAGGGCACAGGTAAATATCTTTCTGTTAGTCTCTACGTTCAGCCAAGATCCATCTGACATCAGCAAAGGTATCGCTAGTTCCATGTCCTCGTTTGAATCCAGGCTTGAATTTTGGCAGCTCCCTGTTGTACTACTACAACCATTTTTTAGATCTTTCACAAAGTTTTACTTGCATGTGACACTATTTGATGATTTTCAGATATTGTTGGGTCACCTTTCTTTGGAATGGTCACAAATAAGAATATCTTCCAATTGGTTAGCCAGGTAGCTGTTTCCCAAATTTCTTGGCATAGACAAGTGAGCATGTTCAACACTGCATCAGTTTGTTGAAACAGTTCCATTTGTATTCCAACAATCTTGTTGTTAGGGGCCATTGAGTTGGCTCCGACTCATAGCGACCCCATGCACAACAGACTAAAACACTGCCGGTCTTGTCCCATGCTCACACTCATTAATGCTTCAGCCCAGTACTCCTGCCACTGTGCCAGTCCATCTTGTTAGGGGTCTTCCTCTCTTTTGCTGACCCTCCACTTTACCAAGCATGATGTCCTTCTCCAAGGACTGGCCCCTTCTGATACTATATCCAAAGTATGAGAGACAAAGTCTGGCCATCCCGACTTCTAAGGTGCATTCTGACTGTGGTTTCTTTGAATACAGATTTGTTTGTTCTGATAGTCCATGGTACTTTTAATATTCTTCAACACCCTAACTCAAATGCATCAATTTTTCTGTGATCTTCCTTACTCATTATCCAACTTTCACATGCATGTGAGGCTGTTGAAAGTAGCACCTTAGTCTTCAAATTGACATCTTTGCTCTTGATTATTTAAAGAGGTCTTGTACAGCAGATTTGCCTAATGCAATACATCACCTGATTTCTTGACTGCTGCTTCCATGCGTGTTGATAGTAGATCCAAGAAAAATGAAGCCTTTGACAACTTCACTCTTTTCTCCATGGTTATCATGATGTTATTTGTTGGTGCCATGGTCAAGAGTTTTGTTTTCTTTACATAGAGGTG